GCGCTGAGGAGCGGCCCACCCCTCTCCACAGGCCACTCCAGCCCACCCTGAGCCACCTCGAAGGGCAGGCTAGCCCCCGGCTGCGCAACAGTTAAACCCCAGCATTTTCTTTGCAAGAGGGCCAGGAGATCCTGTTGCTTAAAGAAATGCATTTGTCCAAGACAAACAGCAGCCGGGCATTGTTTCAGCATGAGTCAAATGAGTGGAAATGCTCCTGTGTCATCCTGTTTTGCTGTCTAGAGGTTTCCCCCTACCTTCAGGATGTGCAGGCAGGCTCCGCGACGTTTCCTATTTGCTGTTCTCTTACTCCTCCATTTCCCGCAAGCGCCTGTGCCCAGCACTGCTCCATGGACCAGCGCAGCAGCCCGAGCCTTGTGCAGCCCCGGACCGTGCCTGGAAAGTGCAGCCTACAGCCAGCCAGCCAACAGGCAGTCAGTGAGCACAGCATCGCCTCCCAGAAAACACTGCATCACTTACAAAAGGGTGCCAGTCTTCACCCTTTTAGGTTCTCTGACAAGCCAAGTAGGTAACAAGGATCCAACACAGCCAAGTGGATTGATGTCCATCCATGTTCCCCATCACTATGGAGATGGGAAGATGGCACCCAGACCCTTCCCAGCCAGACCAGCTTACCCTGCCCCTCGGGTGCCAGTCCACAGTGCTGAACAAGCTCAGGAAAGCTCTGCTTGCTCTCCCCAAGCTCTCTGACATTTTGCCCCATGCTGGCTAACCTGCTTTTAAGGCCTCGGTGTTGAATGCGTGCTGGCGCAGCCATGGCTCACAACCACACAACTGCTCGCAAGGGTGCACCCCTGCTGCTGCAGAGTCACAGCCCCACTGCGCAGCCCCAGGCACCACGTCCTGCTTGGAAAGCACCTCCTGATCCACTGTGGGAGCAGGTACCAGGACACTGGCATCTCCTTCGGCTGCAAATCCAAGGAAATCACCTTGCTGCCTTTGCTGGGAACGCTTTGAGTACAAAGAAGCAATGCTGGGATAAATCCCCCTGGTCAGCGCTGGTACGGTAGAGTGCTGCGCGAAGCGGGGAGGAAAACACGGGTGGCAATGGAGAGACCCCACCATCGCCCCGTAACCCTCTTCCACCCCCACAACCACCTTCCCAACTGACGCTTCAAGCCTGTGCACGTGGCAAGTCACATGGCTGGAGCTGGCACCTCTTATTTCACACCTAGAATCCGTTTTTATCTTGCTAAAAGTATAAAAATAGCAAAGATTTTTTTTTTTTCCACAAAGACACTCAGGCTTCGTCAGCTCGCATTTGCGTCTGGAAAGCCTTTCAGCAGCGAGGTGTGAGCCCCGCGGGGTGGAGGGCTCGGCGGGAGGGCAGGCTGGCGTTTGCACAGCTTGCCCCACGCCGGGTGATCTGGCGACAAGAAGGATCAGGAACTTGTTTTCACACGAAGATCAAAACAGCACAAGAAGAAAAGCACAACATAGCCCGAAGTGACCCAGAACGTCAAAACTGCAACAACAGAAAGTTCAGCCTAAAAATGCAGCCTTGTGAGGGCTGTCAGCGCTTGGCGTGTTTGTCCCCACCGCGGGCGGCAGGACTGGGGAGAGCACAGCTTCGACTTGGGTCAGATATCCAGTGCTCAGCCCCACAGTCCCGTGCCTCGTTCCCTGCTGTGCTGGAGACCTCTCCCTCCAGCAGAGTGCCCCAAAGCTTAACTCGGTCCCCTCCAGGCATCCCGCTCCCTCAAATCACATTCAGGCAGCGGAACACCATCCCCGCTCCCCAGCTACGTGTGGAAATAATGCAAAAGCGATCCCTGCAGAGACAGAAACATGGAGTCATTCCACTGCGGACTAACTGCAGCCAACAAACGCTTAATTTATCCCATTACAGGCTGCACCGCTAACGAACGGGACCTGCTCTGCTGGGCAGTGCCGACTGAGGCTGACAGTACGACACAACCCCACGGCCGCGCTCGCTGTCACAGCTCCCTCCATCCTGCTTTAAGCTCTAACAATTGGATATGATTAACTGGGGCTGGATTTACCATTCTGGGCACCAAAATCCTTCCAGGACACCCAAAGCGGATACAGGAGCCCTCCATGCTCCAAGCGTGGTGCCGCCCTATGGAGATGAGACCTCAGCGTCCGTGTTCCTCTGGTTCCAGCTTTCCCTGCCAAGAGCAAAAGCCAGGAGGGGAGGTGACACTTCTGCCACAGGCACAGAGCTGTCTTTTTCCAGTCCGGGAACAGTTTGAGCAACCAGAAACGCTCTCATGAGCATGCTATCAGCTGGCTTTGACTTCTAGGAAACGATCAGTGGTGATTAAGGACCATCAATCTCCTGCTCATTAACTTCTCTCTATCCCCACTCTCATTCCATCCGGAGGGACATGCAGCAGAACGGCTGCTCCAGACCTTTGCAGCTCGGCCTTTGCCCAAGAGTGCCGCTGGACATGTCTTAGGAGGTTCAGTTATTGATCTCACTACTGAGGCTTTCAGTAGGGAAGGAAAAGACATACGGAGCTCTTAAGCTTTTTTATCTTTCTCCGAGAACATTTCCACTACGATTAGCAAATCTAGCCCAGCCATCTCAGATGCTCCAACTCTGCTCAGCTGAGAAGCCATTAAGGCATCCTGAGTTGATGATCTGATTCACCCTGGATTAAAACAAAACCCAAGGTTCATCCTTGGAACAACGTAGGCTAAACAAAACCAATTTCTTTAAGCACCAGCCTGGAAATGTCTGTGTCCCTGAAGCCCACCGGTGACCCGTAAGTGGGAAGAGCTGGGCCACTCCTCAGCGTGTGGCTCCCACTGCTAACTGCCACCACCAGCCAGTACCGGCGGGGGGGGCACAAAACCACAAGTCTGAAAAGCAAGTGACCATGGGGCTATCCTCATGCTTGCAAGCCCAGGTCACCAACAGAGTTGCCCGTTCAGTATTCCCTGGGGAAATATTTCTTCAGCAGAAGGTGCACTGACACTCCAGGGACCCGGAACCTCACCGATGCCCAAACTCAACGCTCTGCAACATTCACAGCCAAAACCTCTGAGCCCCAACGTACAAATTGATGCTCCAGAATGCAATCACAGCACCTCAGCAGGCACGGCTGGGCAAACACACTTCTAGCAGATGTGGAAAAATCCAGGTACGGATTTTGGCACTGATGACCAGGAACTTGGCTCTGGAAGCCTTGTGATGGTGCGTGAGAATGAGGAAACCACAGTGATGCTGTACACTTCATTCATACTGACCTACAAGTTTCAAATTAAGTCCTCCTGTAGGGATTAAAGCAGGCAGACTGCTTCCTCCTAGATTTCCTTCCAAAGACCAACCTGAGTTGAAGAGGAGACAAGCCATCTGCCCACTGCCCACCCCCTGCGCCCCAAGGGGAGGGGGTTGTACCTGTACACTGGTTGCATTTCCCTGGCAATCCCAATGACTGCTCCCTCCGGGAAGTTCTCAAACTCATCAAACAGGTCTCGGATGTTGGTCTTGTACTTCAGGTCCAAGTCTACCTGGATGATCTGTGTTATTTCTGAAAGCACAAAACAGAAAAGTCAGCTATATAAGACAAAATTGTATCCAGTGATTACTGACAGCTACTCGACAAGTTATACCCAACAAGGATTTGGTGTGATCAGCCCTGTGGGCAACACTCATCCAGTTCAGGGCAAACGCAATCCAGCTACAACTTCTACATAAAGCTACCAACCTTCAACCATCACGACAGCATTTACCATTGCATACATTAGGCATGATTTACTTCAGAAACCATTTCTGGTGACCTCCTACTTCTATCCACTCCCTCCTTCCTTCCAGAAGACTGGTTTTCCATACGACTGACAAAAGCAAGAGGTAGCTTCAACCCAGCCTCTCCCTTCCTGGAAGTGCTTCTGCAGGAGCAGCTACACAAAACCCCACGTACATCTTCTGCTACCTACTTCTGGGAAAAGCTACCAACTCCATGAGCACTTCTCAGCTCCAGCCCACAGAGCATCCCTCGCTGGCTCCAAGTATCAGAGCAGTTCCCATCACGGACAACATTGATAATTCAGTTTTCAGTAACACTCGCACCAGCTCGTTAGCTGCCAGCAGCCTGACACGGGCTTCCCCGAGGGCAGAGGTCACAGCCCTGCATGGAACTGCTGGTGGTCTCTGGCAGCCTGGAAAACTTTATTATTGCTGGTGGTACTCTGTCAGAGTCAAGGAGGGTTGTGCATACATGAAAGCATCTTCCACTTGCAGCAGGAAAGTCAAGAGTGAGGAGAGGCTGGAGGATATCACTATCAAGGCCAGGCCTGAGCTCATTAACCGGGTCAGGTCTCTGCTTGCATTTGTCATAGTCTCCTCAGCAGCACACGAGACTGATTGATGAAGATGTTGCCTGGGAGAGGGTGCAGTGGATGTGCCTCATCAAGACTGCTTGTCCCAAGCAGATCTGGGGATGTTTTACGGCTTGCACCAGCCCAAGTGGCATGCAGCAAACGCAAACGCTACAAGAGATCGGACCATCAACGGGTTCCCCCAGCCCCAGGCAAGGCCGCGGTCATCTTCTGGCCAGCCAAGCTCAGCCCTGCTCTGGGACAGTGAGCGGAGTCATCCCCCATGGCGTTACGTAACGCTGCCGCTATTTATATGTGTTACAAAAGCCAAGACCGAATTGGTCAGGTTGCTTAGCACTTGGCACTAATTGGATTATAAAGACCGTGTCAACCTGTTTCGGCCCCGCTCACCAGCACAGGTGCCGTTACGGCATCCTGCAGCCCAGATGTGCCGTGCGTCACCACTGCTCTCGCGGCACTCGGCGAACACCGCTACTTGCAGACAGGAGGACGAGCCCAGCCTGCCCTCGCTGGCCTGGCTACGGGCAGAGCTTCCCATCAGGCTGGTGTTTCTGCGGCGTTGCCCATGCTCCAGCCTTCTCCCTGCCACGGTTCCTCACCCCCTCACCTCGCTGTGCTCGGGACGGGCTGCTGGCTACCCCTGCTCTGCTGAGAGCTGGAGGCGATCGCTCTCTTCTCAGCCTCCAAAGCCACCGTCAGGACTAGGGACCAGCAGCCAGGCACGGGCAGCCATTCTCCGGCACAGGAATGTACCTTCGCCATCTCAAATGGAAACACTTGGGGTTTGTGTTTTGAGCAGACGCTGAGCTGTACAGCAGCTCTGAATTTTTTGCAGATCATGCACTAATCCTGGGCTCTTGGCAACGGGTTGCATCTACCACGCTCTCCTCATTTGAGAAGGAAAAAGCCCTGTGAGGTTAAGCAAGAAATACGTTGCTTACTCTGCGAAGCATCCAAGCAGAAATATAAATCAAGGAGAAATAGTATCTAAGCTACAACCCAGGCTGTATCTCAATTTATTTTTTTAACATCCATCACACTCTCTCTGCTACAGGGAAAGGCCACACTCCCTTCGGCCAGCAGTACGGCAATCCCCAGGCCTATCTAGTATTTACCACCACCATAATCCTCTGTTTGCAAAGATTTAAAACCCAGGCGTAGTAATTCACTACAGGCTAAAGCAGGTCTTGACCTGAAAGCAATTTCCCACAGCTTTCCTAACTGCCTTAGAAATTGCTAGCACAACTCAAGCAGATGAACAGGCAGAGAGGAGGATTTCTGCAATGGGGAACGAGACGTGTACTCCAAATACCCCAAATCTCCACAGTGGTCCATACCACAGCGGTGCAAAACCCCAAATCCTTAACAATACTGCGCTTCAGAGTATCCAGACTGGTCACAAAACTCCAGGGCAAGAAGACCTTGGACCTACAGCACAAGCTCAGCCCAAGAGAAACACGGCGGGAGCCTGAGCCCTCCAAGGCGCTGCCGAGGACGGAGAGAGAGGATGGGGTTCCCAGGGGGATCTCAGCATGGCTCACCCTGGTGCACAGCAGCCCTCTGACGCCTCATCAGGTTTCAATTAAATCAACTGCAAGGCACGTCATCCGATTGTTCTCTAAAATTACAGATGAGCACTAACTGCAATTAATCACAGCGGAGAATGAAAGCTGAACTTGGGGGAAGCTCCAGCCCCACCAGTACCCTGCACTGGTCCCATGCTGTACTGGCAGAGCCCTGCAGGAAAAACTCACTGACAAATTAGACCCAGAGAGCGCAAAGTACTTTTCCTTTTTTTTTTTTTTTTTGATTTCTTTAAAGCAAGCATGAACTGCAACACTGAGACAAAAATGACCGTGGGTGACACTAAGCGCCCCTTTGCCAGATGCAGCTTGCACGGATAGATTAATGGCCAAGATGATTTCCCTGCCTGTGACTGGCGAGGTGCCAGGCACTCATATTTATGATGTATCATGCTCTTCTGTCCTTTTACCAAGCGCTTTGTCCCGGCTGCCATGTGGGGGTGGAGGAATCGCATGCTCTCTTAGGCACAAACTGCTTGGAGGGGTCCAGCTGGAAATGTGGGAAAAGGCTGAGAGCGTTTGCTCAGCAAGCGAGTTTTCCAACTTTGCCATATTGTATATTCCCCTCTGCTCCACTCAACTCCGGCTCTTCCAGCCACGGTGCGTAAAGGGCAGTTACACCACTCAAAGCGGAGATGATCTCCATTAGCAGTGACAGCTTTATGGCACGGGCTGGCCCCATTTAACGCTCGTAATGTTTTATTGCAGCCTCGTACCAGCAGCTGCAGCAGGGCTCAAACCCTCCCTCCAGCTGCATCCAGAGGAGAAACACCAGCTTAAGGGATGTGCGATCCCGCAGCAGGATCTGCGGTGCTGGAAACTAGCAGAGAAAACCAGCACCAGCGCCCAAGCCGCCTTGCACTAGGGCTCAGCTGTGGAACAGAAGGAGAATCCAGGTTATCCCACAGCAGGACTCCAGAGAGATGCCAGCGCAGACTCCCTCTCGTGAGGGTGCTCCCTCCTTCCCCCAAATCCTCAGCCCAGCAAGGGGGCACAGGCGGGTGGAGGTCACTTCCCTGTGCCCTGCTGCCCAGCATCCTCTGCCGACACCTGGCCGATCCATGCCAGCACACGGGCAGGCACCCTGGGTGTGTACCGAGGGGCCTGGCAGGTTGTCTGGATGCTCTGAGCGGCACCCAAGAGCCCCTCTGGCAGGGGACAGCTTCTGCAGCAGGTCCAATGGCCTCCCCAGGAGACACTGACCCCACGGTCTGCCCCATGGCACAGCAGGGACAGAGCGGGACAGGAGCAGGAGGCATGTGGTGACCATCCCACAGACACGGGGGTACAACCCTTTGGAGCAAATTGCTCGTCTCAGAAGAGTCAGGTGGGAGCATGAGCAGCAGCAGTGGGGCATGAGGAAGAGGAGCATTGCTTTGGCTGGCCCAGCCAGAGCGCTGGGGATGCTGTGCAGCAAGCAACCCTGCAGCAGGTATTACCCCTCCAGCCCTTCTTGACCCATAGCCACTGTTCAGAGCAGCCAATGGATGGGCAGCCTGAGTCGGGGAGATAGCCTGCAAGAGATTTAAATAGTAGATTTAAAACTACAGGAAAGTGGATGGATGACAGATTGAGGGCCAGAAGAAGAGGAGATGCAAAGGCAGGAGCTGCACAGAGCCTGGGGTAAGCTGCGGGCACAACTCCCTTGGCTGCTCTGGGAACGCCAGCTGCCAGCTAGAAACCCGATGGGAGCAAAGGAGATCCCTTTCTTGGCTATTTGCCTCTTCCTGCTCCAGGGCCTTTGCCCCCAGCAAAGGAGTCCTGCCTCCCCGGTACTGCAGGCAGCCAGGGCAGAGACAGGCAGCAGCAGCACATGCTCCTCGTCGGGTGGATGATGCTGCCACCCTCCATGTGCATAAGAGCATCCACAAGTCACCTAGTGATGGCCAAAACTAGTCTCTGGAGCATGACATGCGATTTGAGAAGCTCCTACATGAGCTACAAACCTCCCGGACACCAGGCAGCCCTGGGCGCAAGCGCAGGGAGCCCGGGGTGGTTCACTATGGTGCCTTAGGCTCCAGTAGTTACACAAGGCAGAAAAGCAAGACCCCACAGCCCGACAGCCTGGCCTCTGCAGGCAGCACAGGCTGTTCCGCAGGCAAACCCATTTGCACTCATCCCAACAACTTTCTCTGTAGGAGGGTTGCTACTCTGGCAGCAACCAGAGATGCTGCAGAGAGCGGTGGGGTGGCAGGAGGTGACAGGCCACTGCCCTGCCAGGCTGCACCATGCCCAAATCTCACACATGCTCCTGAGGCAGATGCCTGTCACCGATGCTGGTGGCAACTTACTCTTCTCCTGCCATCCTCTGCACTGGAGTTCCACCTGTCTCAGCAAACCTGCTTTTGAGGACCTAAGCACTCTGGTGCGCCATGCCAATAAGGAGAGATTCCTCCAACATGTATCAGATGGGAGCAGCCCAAACTCCCTGTGCCTCCCCTACATCACAGTAGTGACGAATGGGGCCAAAGGCTGGTGCCTTATGCCCGCATAGAGCAGAAGAGGTGAGACCAAGGGGAATATAACCGAGCTTGCTGACCGTGCCTTGCATGCTGCGCGACCCAGGGATGCCGCTTCGCCTTTCCCCGCAAAGCCAGAAGCAGCGATCC